CAAAGCTTGGAGGTGCATGCCCTCCAACTCAAAAGGGATGAGAGGTGACGCGCACAGTCTTGATGCTCGTGTCGGTCCGAGACTTACGCGCGGTGTACGACAGACCCCGTTAAACCAGCCAAAATTACCAGCGCTCGAGATCAGATCCAATAATCGAACATCTGCCGTGCTCAACGCCGGTGTCGGACTCCGAAGCTCGGCCATTGCTCCCGTTGCACCTTGCCCCGCGTCCACACCACTGCCGTCCGCGCTGCCGCCCTCTCTCTCCTCTCCCTCTCTCTCTCTCTTTTGGCCTCAACAGTGCGGTTGGGGACAGAGACGGAGAGAGACACAGACTCAGAGATAGCGGTCGAGAGAGTCAAGAGGCAGAGACAGAGACAGAGAAACAGCGACAGAGACAGAGAGACAGAGGAACAGAGAGACAGAGACAGAGAGACAGAGAGAGAGAGACAGAGAGAGACAACGCCCACTGATTTTTACTCAAAGTGTGGTTTTAGTTACACTTCCGTAAAGGCCTCAACAACCGGAATTCATTCGCTGCGCTCTCTCTCTCTCTCTCTCTCTGTCTGTCCTGGCTGATAGATTTGGCGGCGGCGGCGGCGGCGGTGAGGCACTGCGAGCTTGAGAGTAGGAGTGCCTTGTTGGATGGAAGCGTGACTTGAGCTTGGGGACGTGTGTGGGTGGGTGTACGCGTGCTTGTGGCGACTTGGTGGGCCGTTTGGGACTCAAGCGCGGGACGATGGAGCGTCGTGGGCGACGGTCACCGACGTTGTCGACCGCCGCACGGCTTGAGCGTCCAGCTGCTGTACCGCCCGTTCCCTCGGGCAGCAAGCCCAGGAAAAAAGTGACCATCGACCCCGAACCGAGTTCATTGGGGGTGAAGCACTCAGCAGCCTCCGATACCCGCAGCACCCGCCTTGGCAATTCACGCACCCGGGCCATGGTACGATCCGCCTCACTCGTGGTCCCGGCGGCTGGCCCTTGGCGCACGTTGCCTCACTGGATGCATTGCGCCTGTCGTCTCCCTCCCAATAACGTGATTTTTATGCGCTGTACACATGTGGATCCCCACCTGGCTCTCGTGGTGCAGCCGACAAAGTCGGATATGACATTTTGGAATGAGGTGGTTGCGCGGTCAACTCAACCACGCCCCGATGTCACGGGGGTCAGCACCATTGCGCAACAGCGACGAGCGCACCAAGCCGTGGCTATCGTTGAACACCACAAAGAACAAGCCCGTCGCGACCGACGCGAGTGTCCCCTCTTGCGTTTGCAAATTGAACAAGCCCGAACGCAGCGCGATGCCGTCCGAGCACGCGTCGCACTCCTTCGAGAGGAGAATTATGGCCTCGTGCAGCAGATAACGTTGGTTTGGCCTCATTCAATTGCTGCATCGCTAGACAGGAACAGCCGATGCACCCTCCTGTACGTGGGATTCCTTACTTGGTTGCTGCCTGCATTCCTGGGTCCCAACAGACAACTCGAGGAAACCAGCCACGAGCGAGTGAGCAGTCTCGTCAACCGCTACCAGGTTTACACGCGCGCTGCTGACGTAATCGAGAGCCGGTGCGCCCAGGAACCTGCCGGCATGCATGCTCGAGTTGAGTTGGCCTTCCTCTGATACTCGTGCATGGGATCATTGCCTAGACCTCACCCGTTGCGCATGGACGCCGAAGAGAGCCTGACCGCCTTTAATGAACGCATGGAAGAGCACGTACGCAGACCACCATGGCATGCCTTGCGCAATTGTGCCTCTTCATGAATGCATGCTCAACGCAAAGTCTGCGCCCTCATCTAGGTTGCTCGACTCCAAGCTCAATTGGTCGCTCTTGACCGGCGCATCGCCGATGGGCGAGCTGAGGTTGCAGATTTGCACACACACCAACAAACTCGCCAGTTTGAGCTGCGCAATCAAGTGCGTTGCCCACTCCAACGCAGACCCGAGCGGGTAACATCGTTTGGGTGTCCTGGCAGTCAACTTTTGACTTGACGTCACCGCTGTGGAAAACCATAGATCTTCGAGCTCCGCCGCCAGTTGGCTGCCGAGACTGAACGACTGGGTATGACAAGAAGACGACGCGGGACTTGCTGCTTGTTGTACAAAGGGACGGCGTGTTTCGTTTAGCTCAACTTGTCTCGCGCGCTTGAACTTTGTAGCTCTGCACCGAACGGCAACCCTTGAAAAGTATGAGCAAGAACGTGCAGACATGTTGCACGAGCACGACGTAGGTTGCGCCGCCCTGCGGTTCACGTGTCTGCCGAGCCCATCTCATGAGTTCATGGACTGACTTCCCAGGCGGCCAAGATCAACGTCAATAGCACCGCAACCAATGCGGTTTTGGAGGCCCTGCCGCCGTACCTTCGCAAACGTCACATTGAGAATATGTCAATGCAGGCGGAGGTGGAACAACAGCGCCAGCACACCATTGCGTATCAGCAGCGAATCGCCACATTAGAAGAAGAACTGCTGTGCGTTTGGCATTTGTCGCCCTGCTAGTCCTGCTGTGTTGGCCGGCATTTGTCCTGCCTCTTTTGCCCGCTTTTTCGGCTTTAGTGGCTCAAGCGTCACACGTTTTGTCTCCGCAGCAATGGTCAAAGATTACTAGCCGAGCGGCGCCGGGAGACACGTCAGCAATTCCTGAACGAGTCAAAACGACAGCCTATGTCGAGCTCTGGCCATGAGCGTGGTCGCACCCAGCACCGCTCAGCGGCGCTTGCCACAGCTCTGCAACAAGTTCAAGACAACGCCAATGTGCAACGTGGACAAGATTTGGTGGCTTTGGTCGATGCCACGCTGGCTCAGCTAGACTTGAGTGACGGAGGCGAAGCTGGACCCAGTGCACGAGACAATCAGATGGCGAACCGATCTGACCAGCCAGGCTCAGGCACACGCTTGCCGCCGTTATGGGAACCCATGACATACCGTGCAACGCGCGGGGTCCAAGATGTTTTTCATGAGCAAATGACGTTGGAGGCGAGCCAGTAGTGGTGGCCTCATGCATCGCAAGGCTTGCCACCCTTGTTTATTTCTCTGAGAGAATGACCTGACGATTCTTCGCTGGCTTTTCCTTGTTGCCTCACTCGCCTCTAGAAAGCGGGGCCTTGTGTTCTGTGCGTGCATCAGGAATGTGTCAAGTTACAAGCATTTGAATGCATGTCTCAAATTCCATATTTCAATCGGCCACCCACAAGAGCTGGGCCAATACAAGCGGGTATGCAGACGCGAAGCCCACAAACACATGACCAAACAAGGAAAGATTGAATAATATCAGGATTATTCAACAAAAAGCCAATCAGTGACCAGGCAAGAGTCACCTCGTCCTGAAGGTTGGCGGGGCGGCACTGCCACCCTTGGCGTCTGTTATACACGATGGCGACAACATCCGAATCAAAGCAAATAAAGCAAGCAAAAGGAGAAAAACATACACACACACACACACACACACACACACACAGAGGAAAAAAAGAGCAATCAAGTCACAACCTCAGAAGCATGGCCATGGTTTGCTACCCGACGGCAGTTCCTCTCTACACAGAAGGGGGAAAATCAGAGAAAAAAAAGAGA